TGTTATGTGCAATCACTAAGTGGTACAGTCATTTATACACCATACACCTTCACCCTTAATAGACGGTCACATCCCTGACAATGGGATCTACATACAATATAAAATATTTTGTGTAGTGTACATGGTACCAGTTTATAGTAGAAAGAAATACTCTGTGAAAAAAATGAAATGAGATTTGGTTCTAATTTGCCTTTCATCACTTCTTAGCAATGTGACTTTGAAGAAGACACTTAAAACTTTAGGTCATAAATCCCTCATCTGTAATGCAGGAAAGCTGTACTGAAATTTCTGGGCCTATGATTAAGGGGAGGGCCAGCCAAGTTCTGCAGTTCATGGTGACCTCCTTCCAAAAGAGTGAGACAAAGGAAGAGACAGAACTTCCACCCGTCCATATACCACCTATGCAAGACTTTAAAAAAAATTTTTTTTAATGTTTATTTATTTTTGAGAGACAGGGAGACAGAGAGACCAGAGCGTGAGAGGGGGAGGGGTAGAGAGAGGGAGACACAGAATCCCAAGCAGGCTCCAGGCTCTGAGCTGTCAGCACAGAGCCCAACACGGGGCATAAACCCACTGACCATGAGATCATGACCTGAGCCGAAGTCAGACGCTTAACCAACTGAGCCACCCAGGCGCCCCTGCATGATCTTTTTTTTTTTTTTTTTTTAAAGTACTTTCCTGTGAGTAAAGCTCCATGCCAAGGCATGCCGTGTAATGTAGAGCATGGCTAGTTTTAAGCACCACACAGTCTTCAGCCTGGCACCCTTGGGGCAAACTCACAACTATCAGAGAGCCTGGACATGCTGGTGCCAACAGAGGCACAAAGTATACATGGCTGTGCTACTGGGAAGACCCGAAAGACTCCTTTTCCCCCTCTGAAACCCACTGCATATTGTGGGCTAGAACTGGCCTGAGGTAAGCAACTAAAGACATACCAGACAGAAATATAAACTCAGTGTGGGTCTTAGTAGGATGCCAAAATGGCATACTCGGTAGAGTTTCTAGGAAAGCTGGGAAGACGAGTTACCTGCCCTGCAATGACGATGTGACGATGCAGGGAAAGAAGATCAGGTTTTCCAGTCACTGAACTAAAAAAAAAAAGGGAATGCTCAGAAATACCTCAGTGTGTGTGTGTGTGTGTGTGTGGAACTATAAATTACTCTCACCTATATTTTTAACTAGCTTCATCTCCAAAATACATGTCAAAGATCATCACATGTCACCATTTTTACTAAGATTTTTCCATTCTGAGCCATCATCATGACTTGGCAAAACTATTACAACAGCTTCCTGATTAGTCTTCCTCCTTCTCTCTTGCCACCTTACAATTGAGTCTCCATTTTTAACTGCATCAATCGGATGCCATCACTCCCCTACTGTGAAACTCTCTCATGAAGGATTTTTCAACAGCAGTAGGAGCCACAATTTGAAACCCCAGGTCTGTCCCAATTATACCCATAGAGGCTGTAGAACATCCGGACATTTCCAGACTCAGATGAGACACTGTATCACAGGGCATGGGAACTGCCTTCTCTTGCAGCTGCCCAAAGGTTGTGCCAACATGTGCCCCAACGGTTAATCTTTGGCCAGTAAGAGAGAGGAGATGGAACTGTTCCAAGAGGTGGTAGTTTCACATGGCCCGGTTAGAAGATGTATCACATGACCAGACGACTAGCTTGGTTTTCCTGCAAGGTCAAGGCCTGCTTAGTAATAATGTCTTTCCTCTTTCCTTGTCTCACCTTCCCTTTTTCCTTCATTCCTGCTGCTTTGGATTTGTGCCACTCAATAAAACCTTAGCACCTAGGCTATAGTTCCAGCTCTATTTCCTAAGTAACAGGGCCAAAAACCTATAAGGTAGGTAAAATGAACCTCCTCTGTATTCCTCTAACACCAAAAACTTTCCCCTGTAATAGCCCAGATTCTGGAGTCAGACAGATAATAGTTGTGTGTTCTTACACAAAGTTATTTTGCCTTCCTGAGCCTTGTTTTCCTTTTCTGTAAATGACTGTAATAACAGAATCTACTTTGCAAGGCTGTTCTGAGCATTAACTGAGATTATCAAGGTAAATGATGCCAGGCACACAGAAAATCCTCAATAAAACAGACATCATTATGATCATGTCTTATTTATCCTTGTATTTCTAGTGTTTAACATATCATCTGCAACACAGTAGATGTGCTTAATGCTAATCTGTTTACAATACCTTTCCCCTGTATTTTATTTTATTTATTTATTTTTTTAATTTTTTTTTTTTTTCAACACTTATTTATTTTTGGGACAGAGAAAGAACATGAACGGGGGAGGGGCAGAGAGAGAGGGAGACTCAGAATTGGAAACAGGCTCCAGGCTCTGAGCCATCAGCCCAGAGCCTGACGCGGGGCTCGAACTCCCGGACCGTGAGATCGTGACCTTGCCGAAGTCGGACGCTTAACCGACTGCGCCACCCAGGCGCCCCTCCCCTGTATTTTAAAAATGCACAAGGAATAGCAAAGATCAAAAAATTTGTATGGTCTCAATACACAGGATTAAGGAATCTGTAAACAAAAAATAAAATTATACATGAATGCTTGTTGGAAAACATTCCTTTACTGCAAAATTAAAATTAAGTTAATTTTACTTGTGTTTTCCTCTGCAACATGGAAAAACAGTTAGGTCCAAAGTACAAATGTAGTCACATTTAGGCACAAGATATATTCTTGAAAAGACGTGCACAAATTAGGTTTCAGTAAATTAAACCACATTTCACATGCATTCAGGAAAAACCACTCTGTAAATGACTTCAACAGAGAATGCTGTGGTAGGTTGTTTTAAACTGTTATACATTTCAATTGTCCTAAAATGAAGCCCTCTTCATGTTCATTGATTATGTTGATTTATAATTTTGGCATATCTTAGATTAAGTTTTTATAAGAAAAAAAGGCTAACAATCAATATATTAAAGTCACAGTACTGATCATTAGAGCTATGATGTTTATTTTCTCAAGTACAGCAAACTGAATAGAACCCAAAAGATCCCTTCATCACCAGTGTTAATAAGGAAGATTCCCCCCCCCCGCCATGAAACTACACATGACCACTTATATGTGTGAATGCAGTCTTTTGTGGGTATATGTATGTATCTGAGTACTACACACATTTGAAACCCACGTTAAAAAAAGGCAGAAAATACATCAGAATGCTAATAATGATTATCATCTGTATGGTGGTTAAACAGGTGACTTTTACTTTTCTTTTTATGCTTTTCTTTATTTTCAAATTTTCTGCAGTATATGTGTTACTCTTTCAAAAGGGCTCAAAAAAGATTTTTTTTAAAATAAGGCACTCATTTTTGATACTTTCAGTTTTGCTAAAATGTTGGAAAAGTCACCAGGTTTCACCCTCTGAAAGCATTTCTTTGTTCATCTTGAATTTACGACTTGTCGAAAACAATATTGATATTGCTGGCAATCAGTTTTATGATCTCTAGTTTTCCGGATGGTAAAGCCGCATTCCTACCTCTATGACTCTACTGAAGGTACACAGGTATTGCTCTGCTTCCTGTAAATGCAAAAGGTAAACACTGTGTCCTCAGGAGTAGTTAGGCAATGCTCCTAGACAGGATTTCAGACATGTATCTCTCTTACAGGAAGATGCACAATTTTCCAGGCAGAAGTTGGCAACCTTGAGGATTCCTCTTTACCTTGGAAGTCTGTGCCTTTGGCTACACTACAAAATACTGACTCTCAATTAGAGCAGCATTATTCATGATAGCCAAAAAAACCCCTAAATGTTTATAAACAGATGAATGGATAAACAAAACGTCCTATATACATACAACAGAGTACCATTCAGCCTTAAAAAGGAACGAAATAATAACACAGGCTACAACATGGATAAACCTTGAAACCGCTACACTAAATGAAATAATCCAGATACAAAAGGACAAAAATTCTGTAATTTCACTTATATGAGGTACCTACAACAGGCAAATTCATAGAGCCTGGAAAGTAGAACAGAGGTTCCCTGGGGCAGGGAGTACCTCACCAACGAAGTGAGGAGTGCCTGTTTAACAGATTCAGAGCTTCTGTTTAGGGTGATGAAAAAGTTCTGAGAATGGATAGTGGTGATGACTGCACAACACTGCAAATGTACCTCGTGCCACTGAACTGTATATTTTATTTTTATTTATTTACTTTTTAATGTGTATTTATTTTTTTTTTATTTTTTTTTTAAATTTTTTTTTCAACGTTTTTATTTATTTTTGGGACAGAGAGAGACAGAGCATGAATGGGGGAGGGGCAGAGAGAGAGGGAGACACAGAATCGGAAACAGGTTCCAGGCTCTGAGCCATCAGCCCAGAGCCCGACGCGGGGCTCGAACTCACAGACCGCGAGATCATGACCTGGCTGAAGTCGGACGCTTAACCGACTGCGCCACCCAGGCGCCCCAATGTGTATTTATTTTTGAGAGAGAGAGAGACAGAATGTGAGAGGAGGAGGGGCAGAGAGAGAGGGAGACACAGAATCCAAAACAGGTTCCAGGCTCTTAGGTGTCAGCACAGAGCCCAACGTGGGGTTCAAACTCACGAACCATGAGATGATGACCTGAGCCGGTCAGGTGCTCAACCAACTGAGCCACCCAGGCACCCCTGAACTGTATATTTTAAAATGGTTAACATGATAAATTTTGAAAAAGAGATAAGTGACAGTTTAAACAAAAATAATAACAATGTAGTGTGGGTTTATAACATACATAAACTGTAATAAAAGCACAAAGATTGGGAGGAGAGAAAAGGAAATATGTATCATTAGGTTCTTACACTTCAACTGAAGTGATACCATATCACTTGAGGGTGGACAGTGATGCTAAAGATACATGCTAAAACCCCTAAGGCAATCACTTAAATAAGAAAACAAATAATTATGGCTAAAAAGCCAACAAAGAAGATAAATAGTAGCTTATTAAAACCTACTCGGAAGTATAATTAAGTCAATGTAAAAATAATGGCAAAAGCACTTACTGCCCAGACTGGTGATGTAAAGCCTAGAATTGCAGCCTTAGCTCCATCAGCCACATATGGAATAATATTTTCTCCCAGACGTGTATCTCTGAACAAGGCTCTAAGGATATTTAAAGCATGAACCTAGAATAAAAAGCTAAAAATTAGATGTGGTTGAAGACCCTGGTAATTCTAAATCTGTACACATTCAATAACATAACCTCAAAATAAAAAAGTTACTGAATTTGAGAAGAAATAAATAATCCACAAATGAAATAGCAGATTTTGATAAAATACAATTAATCTGATAAATCAGTTTTTTAAAAGATTTAAACAGTGCAACTAAAAAGCTTGATTCAATGGACATATGCAGAATCCTGCATGTAACAAATAGAGACAACATGTTCTTTTCAAGTACACATGAAACATTTATTTTTTTAAATGACTTAAAACCTAGCCACAAATAAAATCTCAACAAATACCAAATAATTAAAATCTTACATATTATGTTCTGATCACAGTGGAACTAAGTCAGAAACTGATTTCTTTAAATACTTTCAAAACTGATACTTTATTTTTTAAAAAAAAAAGTGGTCAAAGGAAAAAAAAATTAACATTTAGGGCTGACCAATAACCAAGGTGCTACACATCAACATTTTGAGACGCAATGTAAGTGGAACTTAAAAAAAAAAAAAAAAGCATGCCTTACATGCTTCTATAAAGAAAAAAGACTAAAAATGAATATTCTCGGTGTCCAATTCAGATGACAAAGAACAATAAATTAGAAAAGAGAAAGAAAATTTAAAAGAGCAGAAAATTTTGAAAAAAGCAATGACATAACCAAGACCATTAGCAAAACCTAAAGCTGATTCTTTGAAATAGAAACTAACCTCTGGCTAATCAAGAAGAGAGAGAAGAAAACAAGCAGTATCATGAATGCCAAGGATGATATGACTACAGATACTACAGAGAATAAAGCAAAAATACTACTGTGAATAATGCTACCCAAATCGATTTGAAAAATTAGACAAAATGAACAATTTCCCAGGAAAAGAATGTATCAAAACAAATAGATAGGTGCTTATCATTACATAAAGGAAATCAATAGATAAAAATCCTACCCAAAGACCAAAAACAAAAAAACAAACCCAATATAATAACTACAACAATTACCAAAACATTGACCCACATGAATTTATAGATGAATTCTACCAAATATTTAAAGAATAGATAATCCCAATTTATATAAACTATTTGGAGAAGAGAAGACTCCCAAATTTATTTTACCAGTCTAGCACAGCTTGGCTAGAACAGTAAGGACAACTACTTTGGGAAAATGGTAATTTCTATTAAAGCTTAATATACAACATACCCCAAAAACACTTGTATCTACTGAAAAGAAATATATATATGTTCACCATTAGGCATGTACAAGAATGTTCTTAAAAGTACTATTCTTAATAACCCAAAATAAAAACCAACCCAAATGGTCATCAGCAGAAGAATGAATAAATTATATAATATCATACAGCCATGAAAATAAATAAATTACAACTTGGATGGATAATATAAACATAATGTTGGTCAAAAGAATCCACATCAAAAGAGTACCTAATGGTATGTTTTCATTTATTTAAAACTTAAAAAAAACAGGTAGAACTAAAACTAAGGTGTTAAAGTTAGGCTAGTAGTTACCCTTGGGGAAAAGGTACTGATTAGAAGGAGCGTGAGGAGGCTTTGAGGTGTTAAAATGTTCTGTCTCTTGCTAGTTACACCAGTATGTTCACCTCGTGAAACTTTATTGTTGTACAGATATGATTTCTATATGTCTTTGTATATGTTATAATTCAATAAAAAATTTTACATAAAAAATAAGGACAGGTACAGCATGAAAAAGAAAAACCACAGGCCAATCTCATGAACCCAGTGAAAATACGCAAAAAATATTTTTTAAAAGATTTTAAGGGAATCTAGCAATGTGTAAAAACAATTCACCATGTCAAAGTTGTGGGTTAGGATTCCATACGCAAAGATGGTATTGGATCAAAAATAAGTATATTCATGATTATTTGCAAATTCGAGAAGACATTTATCTCAAAAGGCACTTGAAAGCATTCAAGGAAATGTGATTTCCTTAATGAGCTATATGACAGATTTAAACCTACAGCAAATATCAGCAATCACATAGGGATAACTGCTATTTCTATTGCTATACAAATCATACTACAAGTTCCAGCCAGCAGAATAAGAAAAATATTTTATGAATAAGAATTAGAAAGGTAAAACAAATTTAGCATTATTTACTGAGGATATGATTATCCATAAAGAAAATCCAAAAGATTTACAGACAAGTCATTAGTTGTAATACACAATAGCTGACATGACTTCTTTTTTAATATTTAAATCTTCTAGGGGTGCCTAGGTGGCTCAGTCAGTTGAGCATCAGGCTTTGGCTCAGGTCACGATCTCACGGTCCGTGAGTTCGAGCCGTGTGTCAGGCTCTGTGGTGATAGCTCAGAGCCTGGAGCCTGCTTCAGATTCTGTGTCTCCTTCTTCTCTGCCCCTCTCCCACTCATGCTGTCTCTTTCTCTCTCTCTCTCTCTCTCTTACTCTCAAAAATAAGTAAACATTAAAAAAATTTTTTTTTTAATTTAAATCTTCCAGTCCATGAGCATGGCTAGTTTTCTCCATTTATTCAGATCTTTCTCTATGTCTTTCATTATTTTAAAAATTTTATTCTGTTTATTTATTTTTGAGAGACAGAGTGAGAGCGGGGGAGGGACAGAAAGAGAGGGAGACACAGAATCCAAAGCAGGCTTCAGGTTCTTGAGCTGTCTGCACAGAGCTCAACGCAGGGCTCGAACCCACGAACAGTGATATCATGACCTGAGCCGAAGTCAGACACTCAACTGACAGAGCCACCCGGGCACCCCTTTGATTATTTTTAAAAATAGCCTCCTATAAAAGTCTTATAGATCTTTTGTGAGATTTAATTCTACATACTTTATATTTTTTCTAGTGATTATAAACAGTATTTTAAGGATTGTATTATATGTTGCTGGTGTGTATAAATGCAATTAATTTTTTTGCTTATTGTTGTGCTTATATTCAGCACAGAGTCATTTTCCCCAAACAAATCAATAAATTTAAATTCCAACAAAAATTCAAAAGGGGGTTTTGTTAAACTTAGCAAGCTGATTCTATAACTTATATGGAAGAGCAATGGAAAAAATATAGCAGGATAATTGCAAAGGAAAAAAGGGAAATTCACCCTACCAGATACCAAAAGTTATTGAAAAGATAGTAATTAAAATAGAGTTTTTGGCTCAGAGATAATATAACAGACCAATAAAACAAAGCACACAAACAGACATGCATGTCAACAAGAACAGTATATCAGAGATAGAAGGGTGCTATAAATCAAGGGGAAAGGATATACTGTATCAAAAACACTTGTATATTAATTATCCAAATGGAAGGTAATAAAATTATTTTCTTATTTTACACACAAAAACAAATTACAGATAGTGTAAAGACAGAAATGTGAGAAATAAAATTAAAACTTTAAAAAGAAAATACAAAATATGTTCTGACCTTGGTGTATTTATTAAACAAGATCCGAATGTACAAACCATAAACGAAAAAGCCGGCATATTCCATTTTATTAAAATTTAAAACTTCCATGCAATAATAGAGACCATAAGCAAAGTGAAAAGAGAAGCCACAGATTGGAAGAAGAGGTGTGTAACTCAACCAAAAAGAACTGTTATCAGGAAAATAATTTTATTTTATTTTTTAACGTTTATTTATTTTTGAGACAGAGAGAGACAGAGCATGAACAGGGGAGGGTCAGAGAGAGGGAGACACAGAATCTGAAACAGGCTCCAGGCTCTGAGCTGTCAGCACAGAGCCCGACGCGGGGCTCGAACTCAAGGACCGCGAGATCATGACCCGAGCCAAAGTCGGCCGCCTAACCGACTGAGCCACCCAGGCGCCCCGGAAAATCGTTTTAAAACAACCAAAAAAACCCAACTCCTGAAAGACAAAGACAAATAACCAAATTAAAGATAGCCAAAAAAGTCTTTCAATGGGCAATTCACAGAATTAATTCAGAGGACTAATACATGAAAAGATGTTAAAGTTAGCCAGGTATTGGAGAAATGTGAAATAAAACTGGCAGAGTAGCATTATAAAATGCCTTTAGTTGGATGTTTTCACCAAAGTTTAAAAATAGGTCATTTTGGTTAACATAGATCAACTAAAGCAATGGTTTATTTTGTGGACAGGAAAGGCCAACAAAACAAAAGCATCCAGAGCAAGCTTCAAATACCTACCCTATTTTCAATACTTCTATATCTAGAGCAAATACTTTTTTTTTCTTTTCTTTTTCTTTCTTTTTTTTAGCAGATACTTTTTTTTTTTTTGGACAGCAAAGATTTAAAATCACTGCCTTCCTAGCAGGCTTTGTGTATTTCCATTATTACCTGGGGGACTGTGCTCTGTGAGTCATCTGTAGGCCCAGCCAAGGAGATTAACTCTTTCATTGTTATTTTCAACAAATCCATTTTGCCTTTCTTCGGTTCAGATGCCAATAGTGCCTATGGAAAAACAAGACAAAAATTAACTGGGCTATTGTTTTACATATACCTATTTCTAGTTCCTAGAATCAATCCCAAAATGAAAAATCCCCTTATGAAAACATGTGGTATCAAGCAAGTTAATTAAGCCATTCAGCCTTGGGCAAGTAGTTTAACTTCTCCATCCCTCAGATTCTTCATCTGTAAAATAAGGTGATGGTGATATCATGGCATCTCTAAGGTCATTTCCAGTTTGCTTGTTAACTATACAATTCTAAAAGGTTGAATGGGGGCGCCTGGGTGGCGCAGTCGGTTAAGTGTCCGACTTCAGCCAGGTCACGATCTCGCGGTCTGTGAGTTCGAGCCCCGCGTCAGGCTCTGGGCTGATGGCTCAGAGCCTGGAGACTGTTTCCGATTCTGTGTCTCCCTCTCTCTCTGCCCCTCCCCCGTTCATGCTCTGTCTCTCTCTGTCCCAAAAATAAATAAAAACGTTGAAAAAAAAGTTTAAAAAAATAAATAAATAAATAAAATAAAAGGTTGAATGAATGGTTCTTACTGAGCACTCTCCTAGGACCACAACTATGTGACAGGTCTCAGATACAATAAGCAAGTCAGTTTTGGGTTTTGTTTTTTGTTTTTGTTTTTTTAATTTGACAGAGAGTGCACATGTACACAAGTGGGGGAGGGGGGCAGAGAAGAGAGAGAACCTCAAGCAGGCTCCACGCTCAGTGAAGAGCCTGATGTGGGGCTTGATCCCACGATCCTGGGATCATGACCTGAGCTGAAACCAAAAGTCCAGACGCTCAACCGACTGAGCCACCCAGGAGCCCCCAGCAAGTAAGATTTTGTAACAAATTTATCAACAAGAAAATCCTCTTTACTTAAAAAACAAAAACACCTGTGGATTAAATTTCTTGCAAGGATTTAGAAACTCCCTGGAGATTGATCAGTTGTTTAATTTTTTACCAAAGAGTCTCTACCTGAAGGACCATCAAACCATAATACTGGAAAGTCCATGGAGCAAAAGGAAATACTACAAACTCCAAAGGGGTCCTATATTTGAATTTTCAAGAGCTGCTAATTTACTTTGTGTCTAACATTTTGCCAATATACATTAAACATAAAAATAGGATATCAAACCACCTGAGCCAATAAAAGGGAATGAAGTACTGATATATGCTACAACATGGATGGATTTTGAAAACATGCTAAGTGAAAGAAGCCAGACATAAAGGCCACACAGTATATGATCCCATTTATATGAAATATCCAGAAAAGGCAAATCTGTAGACACAGAAAACAGATCAGTGGTTGTATAGAGCTAGGAGTAGCAGTGGTTATTTCATTTGTACATAGCTAGTAGCTCCCAAGAGTGAAAGTTTCAAGCTATTCAGCTTTTTTGGAAGCTTTTATAATCCATAAAAGAGGTAAACACATCCAAAACAGGTAGGTTTAAAAGACAAATTTATCAGAGCACCTGGGTGGCTCAGTCAGTTGAGCATCCGGCTCTTGATTTTGGCTCGGGTCATGGTCTCACACTTTGTGAGTTCAAGCCCCACATCGGGCTCTGCACTGACAGTACAGAGCCTGCTTGGGATTCTCTCTCCCTCTCCCTCTGCCCCTCTCCTGCTCATGCATGCTCTCTCTCTCTGTGTCTCTTTCTCAAAATAAATAAACTTAAAAAAAAAAGACAAATTTATTATAGTATATTTATGCTATTTATGCTCATAAAACATATATACTATTTTTCTAATGACCACTCAAAACATTTTTATATCTCTCTGTACAAAAGATAAGTTCATAAACTAGCAGTTTTTCTCCGTAGTTAACACTAAGTAGAGGTTTCCATGAGAACATAACTTATTGGTAAGTTATACTAAGAGGAATGGGGGCCTCTCTGAACAGACTTTTCTAATAATTTAGATTTTACTCAACTAACATAAATAAAAAAGCTACATGCAATTACTGAAATGTCTCCTTGGAGCCATGGCTTTCCCCACCCCCCCAAGAGTTGTGTGCATAGTTATGACATTCTTTCCAAGGATGGACTAAAAAAGGACGTGTCTTGGGGCGCTTGGGGGGCTCAGTCAGTTAAGCATCTGACTTTAGCTCAGGTCATGATCTTGCGGTTCGGTTCGTGAGTTCGAACCCCACATCAGGCTCTGTGCTGACAGCTCAGAGGCTGGAGCCTGCTTCAGATTCTGTCTCCCTCTCTCTCTGCCCCTCCCCTGCTTGCGCTCTGTGTCTCTCTCTCAAAAATAAATAAACATTTAAAAAGTTAAAAAAAAAAAAAAAAAAAAAAAAAAAAAAAAGAAAGTATGTGTCCTAACTGCTCTGTCACTATGACCAATATTTAGTACTAGACGGGAGCCAGAGGTGGAATAAGCACACTGCACAAACATGCAACTAGACCTTGCTACTGTCTTAACATTTGTCCTCAAGTGAGGCAAAAACACACGAGGTCCAAATGAATTACAGGCAGGAGATGAACCAAACTGATGCAGAATGGGTCAGATCAGAGAGTTTTCATTTCGATGAGCTCTGCATCACATCAACAACCTCTGCAAGTTGGTGTCCACTGTCATCACAAAATGATGACTGTGGAAATTTGACGAGTAAGAAAGAGAAGGAAAAAATGTAGAGGCACTAATAAAACACTTTGATGCACTTATTTTCATTGCTTTTATTATACCACCACCATTCCTGGACTGAATCTTACTAAATATTAAACAAAGACCTTCCAGGTTGGGGTCTGATTTAATATTGTGAGGACTTTGGTTTTTATTCGTTGAATTCATGAGGACGATAGCCTCTTAATTTCAACACTGTGGAAATAAAATATTTTCCTATCAACTAGCAATATCTGGGTGTGCTGATATGCAATGATCTTTGAGGTAAAACAGTAAGTGGAAAAAAAGCAAGGGCAAAACAGTGTGTATAATATGCTTTCTTCTGTATTAAAAAACAGAAAATGCACTACCACACACCCATTTTCACATGTAGAGTCGTTCAGGATTCAGGCTGCCCAAGCTTCCAGTCTTAGTCCTGCTCACACTATCTCTGGGGCTTTGGGCAAGTCACTTAACTTTCCTCAGCCTCAGTTTCCTCATCTGTACTATACAAATGATAACAGGACATATCTCATAGGGCTTGAAGAAAGATTAAATAAGTTAATATATGTCAAATAACCATTTATAAATGTTAGCTACCATTAGGATTAAAATTATTTTACGCATGGACATTTTATGGACGTATTGAAAAGAAATTGCTAATACTTGTTGCTTTCAGAGGAAGTGTTAAGGGTCTTGAAATAACAGGAAGACTATTTTTTCTAACTCAAAAAGAAAAAGGCAGCGTGCACACTTCCTAGAAGTGAGCCATGAATGTGCCACAGTGATGTCTGCCTACTTAATACACAGGCGGAAATCTATACCACCCTCTGTTCACATTACAAGACTGACTTTGTAGAGAGGGTTTGTTCCAAGAACAGATCTGTCATGGGAACATACTGTCCACACATGCAACAAAGCCACAAACATAAAAGCCAGAATTATCTCTTATGCAATATGCTCCCTCACATGTCAAAGGGATCGTCAAAAGACAAATAAAACAAATTATCAAAAGACAGACAGACAGACAGCTATGTCCCGTGGATAAGTACCTGTATGTAGAAAGGAAGTCCGGCACTGCGCCTTGTAGCACAGAGTTTAGATGAGGGATCACTGCATTTAATTTCCTCTAAAACATTCCATAACCAGTGTTCTGGCAGCTTTTGCAGACTCACATTGGGGCACCTAAAAGGAATAGATAAAGCAAACATTTGGAATAATCGGGTACCAAAAGATAAAAGTACGAACTATTAATACACATTAACATTGTTAGAGAAGAAGAAATATCCTTATATTTGGAAGGAGGAAAACTAAAACTTGTCTCCCTTTCTACTTTTCACTTACCTTCCTCTTTACTATGGGTCTTAAGCTAGGTCTGAAGCTATTAAAGATTCCATTTCTTACAAAAGCATATAAAGCATGTGTCTTGTCTGCAAAATAAGCTTTAATACCATGGCTTACACTCATACTCAAAATGTTCTGATGAAGGTTAATGAAACTCTTACAGATAATCTATACTGCAAAACACAAAGAGAATATAACTTTATTATAACTTATGTTCGGTCTTTACAGAGATTATATTCAAAGAAAACACATTTTAAGGTATATCTTAATAATCATTTTCATGTCTCTCAAAATGTGGCCTCCCACAAAATTTTCAACCAAATCCTACGGAAAATTAATAAAGCAAGTTAGTATAAACATTTTTAGATTATTTGGACTTTGCTGTTGGTGAGATTCCACTCTACTATATGAAGTGTTACTTTGTTGTGCTTAAGAATATTTAATTTTAATAAAAATTTTTAACCTTATGCCTTACCAGATCATATAACATTATCCTAAGAAATAGCATATTCTGTGGTAGACAGACAATTATTTTAGGAGGATCATAACTGGATTTGACTAAAGTAAATATATGAAAATAAAGAGATGAAATCCAAAGAAAAAATACTCTGTTTTTAAATTGAGGAAAACATTCTGCAGAAAGATTTTTTTTTTTTTAATGTTTACTTATTTTTGAGAGAGAGAGACAGAGAGAGAGACAGAGAGAGAGAGACAGAGTGTAAGCAGGGGAGGGGCAGAGAGACAGACACAGAATCTGAAGCAGGCTCCAGGCTCTGATCTGTCAGCATAGAGCCTGACGTGGAGCTTGAACCCATGGATCATGAGATCACGACCTGAGCTGAAGTCAGACCCTTCACTGACTCAGCCACCCAGGCACCCTGACAACTTCAGTTTCTAATTAAATATTCCAAATAGTAACTCAAATTTAGTTGTTTGTGTCTTGCATAAAACAAATCATATATAAATAATAATACTCTAAGGGGTGCCTGGGTGGTTCAGTCAGTTAGGCATTGGACTTTGGCTCAGGTCATGATCTAGTGTGGTTCACGAGTTCAAGCCCCGCATCAGGCTCCATGCTAACAGCTCAGGTCCTGGAGCCTTCTTTGGATTCTGTCTCCCTCTCTCTCTCTGCCCCTTCCCCACTCACACTCTTTCTCTCTCTCTCAAAAATAAATAAACATTTTAAAAATTAAAAAAAAAAATACTACTCTATAGGAAACTTTTTTTTTTAATTTTTTTTTTCAACATTTTTTATTTATTTTTGGGACAGAGAGAAACAGAGCATGAACGGGGGAGGGGCAGAGAGAGAGGGAGACACAGCATCAGAAACAGGCTCCAGGCTCCGAGCCATCAGCCCAGAGCCTGACGCGGGGCTCGAACTCACGGACCGCGAGATCGTGACCTGGCTGAAGTCGGACGCTTAACCGACTGCGCCACCCAGGCGCCCCAAGTTCTATTTTAAAAAGAGCAAGGGGAGCCTGGGTGGCTCAGTTGGTTAAGCGTCTGACTTCAGCTCAGGTCATGATCTTATGGTTTGTGAGTTTCAGCCCCTTGTTGGGCTCTGCGCTGACAGCTCAGAGCCTGGAGCCTGCTTCGGATTCTGTGTCTACCTCTTTCTCTGCTCCTCCCCCACTCACACTCTGTCTCTCTTTCTCTCAAAAATAAATAAACGTTAAAACAAAATTTAATGTACTTTCAAAATTAAAAAAAAAAAAAAAAAGATGAATTTTAGAGAATTAGTGACTCAGATGACAGTTTTCTGGTAAAGGTACCCAAAACAGTACAGAAAAAGAAGACAAAAACACAAAATATACATGTGCACAAATGTACCTGTTTGTATACATACATACAGACAATAGCTTGAGAGAAACCAATATATTCTAAGAGGGGTTACAGAAAGCAGGAATAAAATAACTAGGAGAAAAATACTCAAAGAAATATCTAGAAAATTTCCAAAACTGAAAAAAGTCACAAGGCCTCAGATTCAAAGTATATTCCAAGTATCTACTCCAGGTAAATAAACCCATACCTAGGCATATCACAGTGAAATTGTGATTAAGAGAAAACCTTAAAAGCCACAGGAGAAGAAAGAAAAAATAAGATGCCTACAAAGGAAACCAATTACACCAAAGATAAGTTTCTCACTGGCAATAATAAAAGACACAGATTTTTAAAGCACTGAGGGAAAATAGCTGTTAACCAGAATTCTATACCCAGTTAAACTACACTCAAAAGTGGAGGTAGATAAAGACAATTTGAGACAAACAGTAAGTCGGCCTTCCAGAGACCATTATGAAAAGAAATTCTGAAGAACATGCCTCTGCAAAGTTAAGTAGACTCAGAGCAGTGTCAATGTGGTATCTACTAGACATCTCAAACTTAACATACACCAAACTAAATTGCTGATCACCCTCTAAAAATCTATTCTGCCCATATGTAGCATATGATGTAGCATATGAATGATACATATTAGGCCAAATATTTTGTTTTTTTTCTTTTCTTTTTTTTTTTTCAATATATGAAATTTATTGTCAAATTGGTTTCCATACAACACCCAGTGCTCATCCCAAAAGGTGCCCTCCTCAATACCCATCACCCAACCTCCCCTTCCTCCCACCCCCGGCCAAATATTTTGGAATCATCTTTTTTCTTAAACATCAAATCCAATCGGTCAATATCTCCTTTCTGTTCTTCCTTCAAATTACATCCAAATTCAGACTACTCTTTACTATCTCCACTACTCTTCAAGCCATCATCATCTCTTTCTTGAATTATAATCATATTGTAATTTCCTAACTGCTCTCTCTGCTTTGACTATTATAGTCTATTCTCAACACAGCAGTCAAAAAAATCCTTTTAAGAGACCATACCATAATACTCCTCTGTTCACAAGCCCTCCAATGGTTCCCCATTTTATTCAGAATAAAAGCCAAAGTCCTTACTATATCTAATACTATCTAGTCCTCATTACCGCTCTGATCTTATCTTCTACAACTTTTTTCCTTATTCCACTCCCATCACAAATGGTTTACCTACTGTTGCTTGAATACCGACCCTAGTCCATGCCTCTCAAGACTTTGGCACCCGACCTTCTCTCTACCTGGAACAATCTTCCTCCAGTTATACAACTGTTGATTATAGTGTTCACTATACTTACCAATATGTTCAAATTTTTAATGCTAATTTTTAAAAATCAGGTTTAAAAAAGAGAGAAATTAGATTATTTCCCCAACGTTATAAAGCTTGTGAGTGACAAAGAGAGCATTAAAATGTAGATTGACACCAAAGACCTTGCTTAATAAAAAGGCATTACTTCAAGGTGCCTGTCTTAGATTCAGTTCCACATTTGGCTCAATCTGCTCATGACAGATATTCTATCAACTCTCTATTCTTTGCTTCTGTGGATTTCATTTATTCATTTGGAAAAAAGACCTATCAGGTATCTAGTAGTCTGCTTGGCACTATGCTGTGCCTTAGGAAGTGGAGAGTAGAATAAGAATACCAAATTACACATAATTCAGAAAGCAAGTTCCTGTGGCTTTAGAATGTATTACCACAGTATATGGAGTTTAAGAAATTTACCTTCCTAATCATATTTTATTGTTATCCTTCAGATTGATTTCAATCCCTGTACATATACCATCAGAGTGGGGGTTAGAACAGTTTTTAAACAAACTGAGTGACATGGATGGAAAACTAGCTGGAGAATTAAAATATCCTGCAGAAAAACCACTCCGTGGTTAACCTACTTGTAACTGACTTGACGTGAACTGTGTCTCACTCATTTGGAAGTATTCCAATTCTCTTGGACAACTGGGAACATTTATGTCTGTTAATAAACTTTCCAACATTAACTCATTGCTGGCCTAAAGAAATTATTCCACCTGCACACACAAAGCAACTGATTTCACATTTTAAATGCAAAGTACATTTAAATTCAATACACGAAGCAAAATTCCAGAAAATTATCAAGATTCCATTGCCAGGAAACTAATTATGTGTAAAGGTTAAGCCTTTTGCCAATATCTTCATTTCCCAAATAATAATTTATTTACCAAGCTGTTATCACTAAGGGCACTAAAAGGAAGAAAATCCTTTCCTTTTCCCATAAACAGAAAATTTCACTTTGCCAGGTGTAAGAGCGACTCCAAACAAAAATTCATTCAACTAAGTAAGTTAATGGCTTGCGAAAAATGAGTATCAATAAAAACAAAGCTATTTATCACACTAATTGTTAATAAATTTTTCCCCTACCATGGTTCCTTGTTTCACTTTCCTTGTTTCATTTGCTAATAACTTAAATCATTCTAAATAATGCAAAGAAAAAAGGAGCTTGTTTGGGGGATCAAACCAGAATTTGTCCCCAATCCTGATACAAAGCCAATGATGTGTGTTTACTCAAGCTCACCATTATCAATCATCACCATCATCATCTGAGTGTAAACAGCAATAAGCCATAATTTCAAAAAATAACAAACTCTTAATCTGACTATTCAGAATAACACACTTAGAACCTTAAAAACAGTGTATATCACATCAGAGTAAATGATACACAGGCAACCAAGTGGGGAATAAATTGGTATTGGTCTGATACCCAAAACAAAGACAAACACTTTGATTCCTACAGATGAAAACAGAGGAAATTGAAAAAAACATGTACCTAGTTACATTAAAGCAAACAAACAGACTGAGGCTTTCAGGGCAAGTAGAAGAAGGATAACCTGATAATTTTAGAATCATCTCCAAACCTCTACCACATTAATGTTGTTAAGAGGAACTTTCTCACTCACCCAAGTCCAAAGTTTTGTAAAGCAAACCTTTAGCCTCTAAAACATAAAAAA